AGCTGCCCTTGAGACTCTTACTTTCCCACATGAACTGATGTCAGAGTCCACGTATCAAACGAGTGTACCCAGCAATCCGAATGAAGCAATAAGTGGGCGCTATCGTTCCGTCCCCAACACGAGCTCCGCGCTCGCTACCAGTTCGTCATTCCTATTCTTCCATCATTTATGTCGAAGCTTACTGCGTTCTCACGAACATCATATGTTTTAGTCCCCCCTCCCAATGATCCCTCGGTTTCCCGTCTCCCCGTGTTATCACATACACCCAAGCTCTTTCCGAGTGTTGTTGGATCACATTCGTATCAAATAATCGAGGGCGACATAGAGGACAGTGAAGCGGATAAGTACATCATCCCCACTGGAAGCAAATCATTCAAATGTATCGCCCCTGTGTGCACCGTTCACAAGACCCGCACTCTCGATTGCCCAAGTACCTGCACATTGAAACCGTGCAACGAGACCTTGCACAAGACCAAAATAATGGCCAGGATTCATTTGAGGGGTCATTATCAAAAAGAGCAAAGGTTTCTTTGCACTGACTGGTGAGCCCTTATACGTGATCCTATTCTACTGGGGGCGATGATGGGTATCTCAATGTAGCGAAGACGCAACTTTTCGACGAGAGGGAGATGCTAAGAAACATCGTGACTCTAAAAACGGTAAGCCTTATGACCAGGTCTATGTACGTGTTCCTAATTCTAACAAGTTCCAAAAGGAAAGGCGAAAGCGAAATAAATATGTATGCACCTCTGGTTACAGGGTGCACCTCCACGCCGTTGCATACATAAGGGGGACAAGTGATTATGACGGGATTCGATTTTTTTTCTTTTGACCTTATCCGTTAATAGCTAGATAGTTGTAAAGCATAGAATCAAGTTGTTTTCAAACGTGTATCTGAAATTGATCTTTGAAGGGTCATATATATCATCTCATCCCGGTTTCCATGTATGTATGCCAACCACAAAATTCCCCACTGCTCAAGGTCGCCCTGGGTCAAGGTCAATGGCATGCCCTCCTTACATACAAACTCCTAATTCGAGACGACGGCACGTCAGTACATGTAAGTTTAATAAGACTATATGAGAGGTCAACTCAGCGTCTGCATATATAGGGTTACAGATCATTCTGCACATGTATGCTCGCCATAACGCGCGACCGGGGACTGCGCGGACGTGACAGCGCAGGTCCGGTGCTCTCGGGGGTCTCTATGCCAGAAGATCTATTTTTAGGGTCTTGTCGGAGATCGGCCGTGTGGCCGCCGATAGCGAGTCGTAACAATCGACTATGGACTCGTTTTGAGCTTGACGGTATCGGAGAGGCTGTGACAACTCTTGAGTGTAAAGTCTAGACACGTCAACAGCGTGCCGGACTTGGAGCTTGGGAGGTCAGATCTTCAACAAAGGCAGACCAGTACATATTTATCAATTGCGAAAATGGACCGACTTGGGCGGGGGAACTTTATGTAAGCATGTTCAAGTGGCACAAATTATGTAAGGTACGTTGAGAAAATAACCAAGTGCGTCACGAGCTCAAACGCCCTCGCTCCTATGCAGCTGTAGCATTCCTTGAGGCGTGACTATCATCTCAAATTCGTCTCTCTGAACTGTAACAATAACTATACGATGAAACCTCAGTGTTTGCTCGGATTGCAAACAACTATTTTATTACCTATACGATGAAACCTACAAGCGTATAGATAAGTAATGGACACAAGACTCGTAATAAATGTCTTACCTTAGTGTTTGCTCGGATTGCAAACAACTGAGGAATAGGACTCGCTAGCTAACTACTTTATAGGCTAGCGAACAATGGAAAAATATAACAATGAGACTGCGGAATAATCTATTTATATACTGTGGACAATGGCACTCTATGAGACAATGGTACCTGGATCATTTGTCACATGCCGTGACACGGGGTGACACGGTTTGCTTGCGTCACCCCTCCAACATGAACCGCGTGTCATCATCGTCACGACCGGTGTGTTGCGCGACCAGAGATACTGACCGTAGCTTCCTCCGAGCCCTGTCCTCTCCACAAAGAGCCCATTGAAAGAGACAGTAAGAGGCCATCACTTCTCAGAGTCTCAGACATGGTACACCAAACTTGTTTCATTTTTGAGGAGTTGAGTGCTCACTGATGGTGGTGAATGGAGGCCGTATCTTGGGGGTTGAGTGTGGGGTGAGTGAGTAAAGAGAATTATAATTAAAAAAAAAAAGTATCCAATTTAAATCACACAGATTTCATTTCTTCTAATAATTTAAACTTCAGTTTAATACCCTATAAAAAAAAGCAATTTTTGTACTAAAAAATCCTATCTAAAAAAGTGATTTTCTGTTTTGCAAAAACAAAAAAATAATAAAAAATAAAATGACGTGTGAGAGGCGAATGATGATCAGGGTGCGAGTCCTTGCTCACAGTGGCTCGGCTTTCTTGAGTCCTCACTCCCAGTGAGAATCGACACTGCTCTGCTTGGGCGACATCGTGGCAAATCGTACCTGCAATATCAGTACGAGCACGCCCGACCAGGTCCGCCGAAATGGCACAGAATTCGTGCTCTGGCAGTACGAGATCGGACCACATCTATTGTACATTCTTCGTGACCTAATTACAATACAATCTGAATTTTTCCTGGCGGTCCGATCTGGATCGGACCACATCGACTCCCGGACTCCCGGTCCGATACCAGTAGTACTCGCTCACAGTCAGTGTGTTCACAAGGACGATCTTCCTGTAAATAGGCATAAGTGAAAAGTATTAGTGACTACGAGCACATACCAGAAGTGATAAAGAGGGGGCAGATTGCAAGCTTGGCCGTGAGCAGTGCGGTCCACGCTCGGCTCGACACAGTTTGCTTATGGCCGTACGTAGAACTATGCATATATCAGAAATAAAAAAATATGGAACAACAAGGAAAGACATGACTTGTCGAGAATAACGTAGCACCGACGATGGATAACGCCGCGTATGCCACTGGTACAGATGCCGCAAGCACAAAGATCGTCGAGTTCGCGGTATGGCCGTGCCGGCGTAGACGTAGGGCGAGCACGCTGACCGCACTCAGCACGTCGAAATTGACCAACAGCCCTAAAGTACTATAGATGTTATACAGCAAAGCAGAACAGATACGGCAAACAACGCACAGCGGTTCACCATCCATCCCCACTCAAGCTAGTGAGCATGTCTTTAAAGAGCAGAAGGCCTTGAAACACCTTAAGAGTTACAGGGCAGTCCAAACACAACTCACCGGAGAACACCGCCATGCCTACGTGGATAATGTGGCGGTAACCATGACGAGGCCGTACACATCCGATGCGAGAAGTGCCGCAGAGTCAGAAGAGTACAACACCCACAAGGGAAGCGAGGACGCCGATGGCGGAATACGCGCCTACATAGAACAGCGGGTGCAGCACCACCTGCCTCTGCTTTAACATCTGGCTGTCCGTTCGAGTCGAGCGTCGTCTGGGTAAGACCCGGGCTAACAGCTATAGGACCCCGCTCGTCGTGGCCGGACGCGTCATACGACATATCTACGCGTTTCTCTACTGGAATATTGAACTATGTTGGTTAATGTGTAGTTATTCGACGTCCCAAGTACCGGTATAGGAGGTGTGGTAGAATTGGATGATGAAAGTTGTGGGCAAGCGGTGTTTGTCACGTACCGCACAATGCGTCACACAAATGCTACTAGCATCATATTGGATCCAGAACTTAGACAGAAGTGCAACGACAGGCAGGCGGTCACTAAGCGCGGTAACAGTAGGGAAGCTCGCACAACTCAGCAGAATTCGTCCAGTTAGTTGGCCGAAAGCCAGAGAATTAAGGATTCTGTACTGCGGAAAGTTTGTACCGAACGTTTGCACAGAATTAAAATAGCGATCCAGAGCCGAAAGTCTGTGTGAGTGCGACGCGAAGGCACGGTGTCATCCGAGGAGAGCAGATGTTCCCTGGGATTTGTCCTGGCGAGTCGATTTCGTACGATCTGCGACGAGGCGATTCTCACTGGGCCTCACTCCCCATCCCTTCACTATCCCCCCTTCCTCGCCTCGTCCCCTGCCTGGCAGCGTCACCCCCTCCTCCCCCGGGCCCCCACACACGCCTTCCTTCTCAGGCGCCTACCCCCTGCTCTCTTCTCTTTTCCCTCCTCCTACTCCCTCAAAACCATGTTATCGCTCACAGTTCGCCGTCTTCCACACGATTCCTCCGCCGTCAGCTTCCATGGTACATCCCACCCTCCACACTAACAGGACCCGACAGGACATGATCAGGCCATCATTTTCCGTCTCCTCCCGTCTCTTGCCCGTCCGACACGGAAGATAACAGCGACCGCCTGGCGGCAACAGATAAACACTTACCGTGTGTACGCTCCCCGGCCCCAAAGCCACTGGCATGCCATGCGCTTGTGTAAGCCTCTCTACGTACAGTCACAGTAGAGCCCTAATCACTTACTGTATGTAAACATGAACGGCGAGGTCGAGTCACACGGCCACATGACGTGGCACCGTCGATCCTACTCGATCGGGCCCGGCCGTTCATACATGTTGAGTACGACAGCCTCGGATTCATTTACCTTCCAGCCCTGCAGGATGGGCTGGAATAGGTAGGTAGGTTCAGATTTCTCAACCCTATGATCAGATTTCCTGCCGGAGATGACGAACGAGCGACCCTGCGAGGGATCGCCAGGTCGCCAGGTCGGGGTACCTTACCTCGGTATATGTACAACCGTTAATGGTAAACCAGAGACGGAATCGCTCCTGCACCTACTCTGCAGCTATATCACGATATCCACCCTGACTCTGAGCGAAAGCTCGAGCTCGCGAAATCATGCATGATAGGACATACACTTCAGTCGTGCCTGATATCGATCCACATGCTGGCGACAACCCTAGCTTGATTACTTGAATGAACTGGGTGGAGTGCATGTTGATGGCTAGCGAGTGCCGCAGAGAGGGGCCTTTTCGTGGTTGCCATATATAATATGCTAGTTGACCGTGAAAGGTACTGATATGGTGAAATGGTATCATGCTTGCCTTCCGCTACGTCATAGCAAGCGGCCGGGGTTCGATTCCCCGTGTGCGTAAATTTTGGTTTTTTCTGAGTTGCGGTTATGTAATAAATAATTCAATCAACTATCTGCACCCCAGCCACGTGCATATTCGGGTGCCTAACACATTTGTTGAAATACCAACTGACGCAATTTATGTTTAGTAAGTAACGCGTTTATCTTCATGTCGACAGCTCCGGATCCGCCCACACCCACACCTCCGCTCACTCGAACATGAGCATGTAACTCGGCCTGCCAGCGCCTGTGGGTGGCATAGGCCACGCCGGTCGAATGTCGTCCCTGCCTATAGTGTACTACGGGAGGTATGGCATTCTATCCTAATTGGAGCCAATCTATTCACACGTGGACGTTGACTTCGGCTCCGGATCAGTCTCCTCAAAGATTCATCCATCAAGTATATATAGTATCCCCGTAGCGCCGTGTCTGCGTTGAGGTTTCTCCCCCGAATCTCAGCCCTGAGCAACATGCAATAAATCAGTAATTTATTTATGGGTCCAAATGGATGTCTATATAGAGGAGATCAAAAGAAATGGGTTCTAAAACGTGGACGGGTGCAATGGAATAGTGGAATCACTCGAATGGGCCTACTCATCGAAAAGGGAAAAGTGGGACACCTTGTGTTCCGTGGTATCGGTGATATAGGTGGTATACGGTATATACAGAATGAGGCTGGTGCCAATGCGGGTTATCAATTTGAAGCTTGGACGCGTGCGCCGTGCGCATCACTGATGCGCCGTTCTGTCCGCATTAGCACGTACATCAAGGTGGGTATCTTGCAGATCGGTGAGCGGATAGGTGCGGTTGTCGCCCTCGCTGGATGCAGTCTGTCTGCTTTTACTAATTGTACGCCAAAACGTCAAGGTGGCCAAAGTTTCCTGAGACGAAAGTATAAATGCCAAAAGCATGAACACCATAGCATGAGGGCGTATACCTTGGTAGTACCCAGAACCAGAAATGCGACAAGAGGGACTTTGTATTGTAGTGTAGAAGTTGAGATGCGTCGAAGAACAAACAGAGGTCGATGGAGACTCACGTGCAGCTTGGGATAAATCAACCCAGACAGGGACAAAAAGATTGACATGTCTTGTGTCTCTTGTTTTTCTTCCAGTAGATAAATCTGTCAAAATCCGATCGAGACTGTGGTTGAAAATAACACTGTCGCATACGCGCTATAATTGAAGAACTGGAGTTAACGTCTTATTATGATGGGAGGTTAAGGAGAAATTATACATGGCAACGACTACACGGAAAAGGCTGAAAGCGGCCACCCGCAGGAGAATGGAAAGCGGGATAGCACTCTTGGTCCGGGAGAATCGGTAGGCCGACCAGTGGAGATACATGGTTTTCACTAGCAGGACTTTGAAAGGTAAAGAATGTTGAGCACAGATTATCAGCCAAGGAGGAAGAAGTACCATCCCAGACGAGCGTCATTAGTAAGAACACAAGGACGATTCCGTATGTAAAAAAGCGAAGTTATAGGAGCTTTAAAACAACCCAGATAAGCCTGATAAGCCTAACAAACACCCCAGCAAGTCTGGGGATGTGTGGTGAGTGCACAAGATAAGGGGCACTCTCCCACAGTCCCCAGCTGTTAGCTGGCGCTTTTTGGCTTATGTAAGCATGCCAAAAAGCGCAGATACAAAGGAAAGAGTCAACAAGAAGTCACTAACTACCATTGAGAAAAATACCAAGAAAATTAGAGGAAATGTAGAATGGATAGGGCTTCTAATATCACCATTCAACACCGTATTCAGCCCTCAGACTGGAAACCCGAGTGGTGAGCATTAGGAGAATCGTCAGCTCACAGCCTCGACTTACAACAAATCACTTCTCGAGTTTAATTGAACAGTACAGTAAAAGATGTTTGTGATGGATGGCCCTCCAATTCTGATATTGGTGACCTATGTCATAAAAGCATGGTAATGCTGGTGAGGAGTAATCAAGACACGGGAGCAGCTGGGGCTCACATAACTTGCAGGGATGGAAAGGGATATAAACAAGAGCCAAGGAGACATAATAAGCTTTTTAACCCAAAGTTTTAGTTACGTAACAGATCTGCTAAATGGAAACCTACAACAATTGTGATCAATCAAGATTGTACAGGACTAATGGTGACCCCATATATTGCGGTACGCAGTCTGAGCCACAGCTTTGGGGGGTCATGTCAGCAAGGTGTCAGAACCGTCCACACCAGGCGTAAGATCCCAATGTTGAAGACCCTGCACTAAAAAGGGGTGCCTGTTCTGGTTGGTCGAAAGAGATAAGAAGAAGGACAAGTCTGAAGTAGACAAGCCTCGAAGTAAGAGATTGAGAGAAGAGAGACGATAGAGTGAGCAAGGTATCCTCAAGTGCTTAAGGGCACAGGAGACGGTGTAACGTATATGATAACCAAACTAGCGAAATACATGGAGCAAGCTCTGGTATTTATCTACTTTGGAAAAGGGGGATGAGTCAGAAGAGAATAGGAGGGATGAGTCACCGTGAGTCAGAATGAGTCAGAATGAGTCAGAGTGAGTCAGAGTGAGTCAGGTGAGTATGAGAAGGAGTCAGAACAACAAGAGGGATGAGTCACAATGAGTCAGAATGAGTCAGAACGAGTCAGAGTGAGTCAGGTGAGTCATGAAGAGGAGTCAGGACAATAAAGCTGATATGGTACACAATAGGGGAACTGAGTCATGATGAGTCAATGAAAACAAGAAGAGTGAGTCATGAGGGATACTGGTAAATCAAGAGTGACTCATGGAGACAATAATGAGTCGTCCTAACCCCTGAGCCAACCAACAATCCGGAACCACACATCTCTGCTCCAGACACACAGCCTCTGAGGCAATGCTTGACTTTCCAAGTCAATCGAAGGGGGTGGTGTAGGGTTAGGTGGTTGAGAGGGTTGGAAATGATCGAAACAATATGGGTCATAGCTGGTGCTAACCCCGCTTTCCAATATCTGAATCTCTACACTTCTCTTGCCCTCATGCACAAAGGGAATATAGTGCATAGGCATGTCAACTCGTCCTGAAGAAGGGTTGAAGAAGAGTTCATGGGGATCAAGGCTTCCCCAATCCATGCTGTCGGCACTCATCCTGCCAGATCGTCGCCTGGTGTGGACCGGTGATGGTGCCTGAATGCTTGGCGACATCTGCATAGGGAATGATGGCGTAGGCGCACGTGTGGGAGTGGCAGTGAAGCACATGGCACTGGAGGTGATGGCTCAACTTGGGGTATGAAGATGTGATGGCAGTGGTCTGATGAGACGATTGGGGGAAAAGATTCCGTGTAAGCGCTCAGTGCAGTTGGTGAAATAAACCAGTTCATGACACAAGGGGTGAATGGTGCGCGCGTCATTCCCTACCTGGATTACCAAAGCGGCAGTAGAACAGGTGGTCATCGCCTGCACGCCAGGAATGAGACAGGCTTGTATAAAACACCGGCGGGTGAACAGGACACCACGGGAATAGATAGTGCCACCGTAGGGAGCATTAAAAGTGTGTCCTTGAGTGCCCTGATAGAGACTGGAGGCGAAGTCAGGGTTCAGCAATTCAAAAAAATTGTAGTACATACAGAACACAGAATACGACGCTAGAGACGACCCAAGTCAGACAGAAGTTGAAGAACACTGGGTCTCTATGAACTTTTCGGGATAAGATAGACACTAGGGCAAGGAGTGGGAGGCCAATATGGCCGCCAGCTATTTGAAAGGTGAAAAAGACCGTTTGTTTCTGTCTAACTTCTGCTTCAAAGCGTTCCAACGTGGACAGCCTACAAAATGCTCAAACACGCACGTTCATCTCGACGGTACAGATCATTCAAAAAGTCCGTCTGTGCCAGCGACAGTTGGAGCTGTACGTCGTCAACTTGGAATCCTCGGAAATGGCAATTGATCGCCATTTCTGTCATTACACATAAAACTTAGACCAAATATACAACCGTGAGGGTGTTTACCTGAGACAGCATACTGTCCATTGGCTGGCCCAGTAATTTGCGTAATGTTTGTACCGCTGTTGCACCAACTGATTGCTGCCCAAGCTTGGAGATTATCGGTTGTACAGCACGTGAAGGTCGTAATATTGCAAGGTTCCTGCCAGGTAGCCTGCCACGTGGCACGCGCAACAGTACACTGGATGGCAAGTGGTAAGCAGACAACTTTGCATAAGAAGCATATGTATTCGCATTGCTCGGCGGGCCAACAGTGACAGTAGAAACCAATCTATGCTGAGAAAGAGTGGTCGCTGGGGAGTCTACATCGATAAGATGTCCTGCACGGTAATAAGCAAATCTTACAGTCAACCACAGGAAAAAAGAAGAAAATCGTGGCCAGAGCACAAATCATCATGGATCCTGCCAGTGTGAAAAGCGTCGTATTCTATAGATCTATAGATCTTATAGGGATTTTGCTACTTATATATATTGGCTCAACTGATTGAAAATATTTGGCACATCATTCAGTTGAGCTAGTATCTATTGGTAGCAAAACCACTGACCGTCAGTTGCAATAATATACTGACACTCGAGTTCGTTGCACTGAGTCGAACCTTACGGACCAGCAAATACACGGATTGTCTCATGCAGTGCCTGTAGCATCATTGGCATTGATTGATATCGCTGCCCATCATGTACTACAGTACTTGTGTAATGCGGTCCAGCATCGTCTTCTGCATGAGAATGTATGTCGCCGGACTGGAAACCACCTGTATGGCACCAAACTGTAATCTAGTTAGACGCACACCCCACATGTGTGGTCTATAAAGTCTAACTAGCAAATTCCTCGTGGTAAATCTATTCCGTAGTTTATTCCGCGAAACTGTGTCCAGGTCAGTAGTAGTTCCCTTGACCTGTATAGCCCTGTGGTCCCCTGCTGTGTGTGGACTCTGTACGGCACCGTCCGCCATCAAACTCCACCACCACACGGCCCCTGGCCATGGACGACCTCGACCCACATGTGCTCGTCGTCGCTGACGGTGAGCACAACACCTTTATAAATAATTACCCAGACATAAAAATATATCACAAATATGCTA